TAATAATAATAATAATATTATTGCAACAGTAACCATTATCCATAGCTACTGTACATGTATTTTCATATTGATGTTGAACAGCACAAGAGCTGAGATGAAAATGTGTTGTGACCTCAATTTTCACGATAGAGTAATAATTCTAAAATGGCCAGTTCTTACATAATTCATTCAGCTCAGCACTGTTTCGTTAGGTGACTGTATTTTAGCCATAGAACAAAATAATATCAAAATATATTTTAAAATTAGCTGGATCTTTTTGTTGGTTTTTGTGTGTTCATTTTAACAATTCCTTTTAAGAACTATTTCCACTCTTTCATGTAGGCAATTAATTTCATTCTTAATTGAGAAAGAAAATTGAGGTTTTAAAATCAAAGCTATCAGGACGGGCATTATTATTATAGAGGTGGCTTTGGAGTCTTCTCTGTGAGTCTTACATATGATCAAATACGAATCTTTCATGATGACTTCTAAACCCATGAAGCTAATTGCATATTCCTCTTCATTGCAATTAAAAAGAAAACCCTAAACTGATTTGGAACAAGGCACTGTTACATTAAAGAAAAATTAAACAATGGATCCACATTGTTATCTGTAGGAGTGTTTCTAAGCTTAAAAATCATAGATTCTAATGACATATTGCAAAGATATCCCTTTATTATCAACTAAATGTACTTTTGTTCTTTAGTACATTTAACATACACTTAGCCAGACTATCTGATAACTGAAAAACTGCTTAATTCCCTGTTCTTTTGATTCTTGGACATCGTGCTACAACATCAAAAACATGAGAACATACATTAATTGCTACTTTTCTGACTTTCTGTGACTTTTTCCATCTTTCTTTTCCGTGAACGTGTCAGGATCACTTGACTTCTGCGCTGCTCGAAGTGTTTTCTGTGAGCAAAGCCATGCATAAAACGTTTATGTTTGTCCATGTGCTTTTGGTGGGAGAATTTGAGTCTGGCCGTCCATTATCCTTTTAAATGACATCTTGCTGATGCTGTGTGGATTCACTGACGACCTGTAAAAATGGAAAAGTAGGCGTCGTTATGTCATATCCCATAACAGGGCTCAGGTACTCTCGGATCTGCCTTTCACCAGTGCATTGAATGTGCGTAATCCAGAGTGTTCTGACCACTTCAAAGGTGTTTCTTGTCCCATATGAGATATTTTGATATTTTGGAAGATTATGGGATCATTCTACTGAATATATCATCACAGTCTAGGTATACTGTACATACAGTGTAGTGTTAACACTAAAGGAATATGGTACTGTATCTTGAGACTAAGACTAAATTAGAAGAATCTAGTATTGAAAAAACAAATCAGAATTGGAGGATATTGCAACATTTGCAGTGCCACAGCTGTGATACGATATTTTAATGTGATAACAGCCAATTAACAGATCCTCTACGTGGCCCGTGGTAGAATAACTAAACCACACCCATTCAATGTTCAAGTATTGCCAGACCCAGGGCATATAAAAACCTCAGAGTGAACATGCCAGCTCAGGAGATGCAGAATTGTGAATTGCCTGCTCATGCTATAGCATGCTTTGTAGGCCATCTCACTATGGCCACAAATACTGTATTGCATCAAAGTCAAAAATAGAGATGTACTGTAGAGACAAAATACACATAAAGTGCTTCTTTACACAGATTCTAAATTAGCCTGAAATGAATTTATTTAATTTTCCATTTGTTTACTGTATGTTTAACAGCTTTATCTCTTGTTTTTTTCTAATTACATTTTATCTCTGCTGATAGATATGTACAGTACTGCATATAAAGAAGATTCTTACACATGATGTCTTCTTCAGCGGTACTGCAGTTGTTTATTTTGCAGAACTGCTGTAAAAAGTTGTCTAAATGGAATTCCAATGGTGGGAAATGGTTACTCTTTCCCCTGTTGTTTTAGAGTGAGAGTAACTACCTTTTCCACAAAAGTGAACCCCCCCTTTAAGAGCTACAGTGTGGGAAAGGGGCATGTGTGGGGTTGATTTTATGGTTTATTTCTTGTGAAGTTTATTCTCGGTTTAGATATAAAATTACCAGAAGCAACGAGGTGAAAACCTGTACTTCAAATTCAAAAAGTAACAAATACATCTGCGTATTTTACATTTTTTTGACCGCAAAGGCACTAAACAATATTTTGATAAGCAAAACAATTCCTGTGAAATGATGCAAGAGTGACTGTGTGACTCCCTGAGTCTGACAGTGCCAAACATGTCAGTGAACACCACAAAGTAACACCTCACTGGAAGCGTGGTGTGAGCTTGAAGCGACCCGCTGAAGCAACTCTTGAAGAAACTTACAGAAAAGCATATCTGCTCACGTCTGCTACTCAAAGCTACCCTGGTTAAAAATAAATGTGTAAACATAAGAAAGTAACATTTACTTCCACAACAATGGTACGGCACATTGTAAAAGGGAAACTTCTAAGGAGAAATTTGAAGCTTGGTATTCATTTCCATTTAAGAACTTCAAAGAGTAAGAGGAAAGAAGGTTAAGACCATATTCTTCTAAGTTCAGATCAGCTTCAGTCCTTTCTCATTTCCTGCAGCCCAGAATGCTTTCTGTGCTTCACTTTCTTTGTATTGAGACAGAGTGCTTTTATGGGATACTTAGCTGAACACTGCATCACCCTCACCAATAATATGATGTAATGATTGAGTTGTGCTAGTCTTTATGAGCTCCCAAAGAAGCTTTGGTATTGAGATGATTACTGTAAATGGCACAGAAAACCTACTACAATCAAACCATTTTTACAGTAAATTGATGTGCTGCATATCCTTTTAGACGTGCATATGTTTGTTATTACAGTAGTAAAACAACGGCATGATTTATTTCAAGCAGATTTGTTTCTGTGTAATAGCAGATTTTGTACGCTCTTGGGTGAAATCATAATATCAACGATGATAGAACCACCTTTGATCCCAAAGTTCAACATATGAAATATATGCCGTTTACTCTGCTACCATTAACGGTGTTGGAAATCAATTGGAGCCCACTGCTCTTGTCAAACACGGAGTCAGACAGAGTGAAAGTTGAGTCAGATGTCCTTTAGACAGATTCACAGAACAACTTTTTTTTTTCTTGTGGAACTCCTGCTAACGAGTTCTGTGAGAGTGCCTTACCTCTCCATCACGGGTCTCAATGGTTTTGATCAACACTGTTTTCTTGGAGTGGACTTCAGATGTCCGCTGGTGTTGCTCTGGGCTAGTTTCTGGAAGGACAGAGGAGACAAAAGATATGAACAAGGTCCCAAACATGTTTCTTTCTAAAGCGATCTTTTTTCTTTCTCACTTTGTGCTGAAGAATAAAACACAGGAACAGCCCATAGAATTTGTATATGAATAAAATTGGCCAAATATATCATTTCTATATAAATATTTCAATCAATATTCCATGACACACAGTATCAAGGTAGGTAGCTGTATCAGCATGTGTAGGTTGCAAAGGAACAGGTAAAGGTTTATTCCATGATGAAGAAAAAGGAAAGAGACACAAAGTTTCAAAACCTTAAGGTGTCAGGTTTCATGATACAGTATGTACTGTACCAATCCTTTCAGCATATATGAAATTAACACATTGTTATAGCACTTTTTATCTCTCACAGTGAAAGAAATACCATCAACAAAAAACACTGTAAAATAGAGCCATTCTTTTAATCTGTTTTCCTTGTGTAAATGTACTAATTGTAAAGTCTCACACAAGTTAACTATCAGGGTAAAGTAAAGACAAAAATGAAACCTGTAACTACAGGTTAGACCTTTAACACATAGATATACTGCCATCTGGAGAATAATGCTGTTACGACATTCATTCATCTCCTTGTGATGCAGAAACCTGACATTTACAAGTTAAAAAGCCAAAAGCTGTTCAATTAAAACTGGCCTTTTTTATTGATCTGTGTCTGGTTTTGAAATGTGTACAGTTTACTTCTGTAAAAATACTGCTCTTCAACACAAAGCCAAAATTCTCTCCCTGTTATTTTCACATTATAGTTAGGGGTATACTTTTAGACTTGGATCACAAGAGAACATAAACATAACATAAGATCTAACGAAGAACAAGGCCTACAGAAACCCATCAAGTTACAACTTATAAAATTCAATTTGTATTTCCAGTAATTTTACAAGACACTATAAACTTTTACAAGACACTTTCATACTCACCTCTGAAACTCAGTGAAGCGAATGTTTGTACAGGAACAGTGATCCTGAGGAAAAGATAAATTGGCACTTTAAATCATATACAGTATACAGTTATACTGTATAAAATTACATATTATTTGTATTGATCACATGTATTATTTATTGATTGAAAGGTGTGTCTTTTGTATTGATTAGAATGACTAGGACTGGACAGAACTAAACACAAAATATTTTCTTTCCCACTCTGTCATGTTTTCATTCCTAAGCTGTTGCTTAGCCAGTTTTCTCATTAATTTTAGTGTTAATAGTGTCATAGAACGGATCTGTTGTGAATTTTTCATTCTAAAAGAATGGAAGACTTTCTCATGGTGCTAGAAAAAGTAAGTAAAAAACAATATACACTGTTGTGTAATTGTCTTTGACATTTTTCCCTCATCTTCATCTCTTTTCACTCCACTTTTCCTGATTAATGAAGGAACACATTATACTGCGACAGTGATTTGCTGAAATTTTAGCCTTTTTGTTTTGTTAACAGCCGATTCTGATGGACCTGTATTTTACAGTACAAAGCCGGCTTTTAACTTTGTGGGTGCTTAAAGGGGGACAAAGTGATGTTAATTTGTTTAGTTTCCAACACCTACAAATATAAATTTAGGGTCATTAATGTAGAAGTATCTTCCCAGTATAGAAGTGTAACTCCCAGATGCTCAATAACTCGATAATATTTCATTAAAATATTAAAAAGTAAAGAAAGTAGATGGTTAGTTTGCTAAAGAGTTTGACTGCAATAAGCAATGATTGGAATTTATTCTCTATATTAAAGGGGAACTGCAAGACTATTTTTATATTTCGGGATTAGAAAGAATCAGCATTGATGAGTGTATTTCAAAGCACAATAAAAGTAACATGTACACAGTAACTTGTAAAACCTCAAATTTATCACAAAATAGACAAACTTTCCAGGTATGCCATTTTCTGCAACAAAACTTTGAATTCAGTAGAAATATTACTCTTAACTTTTATCAGTTTAGCCAATAAATGGGACTTACTCATTAACGCTGTGGTGAAATATCTGCTGGACAACCTGTATTTATTCGCTTGTGCATCGCATACATTAATCATCACAGTTACTAGTGAGCAGGAAGGGCCGCTTCACACCAAAAATCGCAGAAACTCTCGCTCTCGCCCATAGCAACACCAGGGGTTCGCAACAACATGGCGACTTATAGTACTTTCACAAAATTCACGATCTCATGCTTAATTCAAAATTTGGAATATTTTTTCGATGCCGTCAAATAATTTATTTACTGAGTGACCGAGGTTTCATAACGGATCTGAGAAATTGGGACTGCAGTTCCCCTTTAAATATCAAGGGCAGTACCTGCTCTCCTCTCCTTCCAGCAGTTTCCTGTAAGTGGCAATCTCCACATCCAGAGCCATCTTGACATTGAGCAGGTCCTGGTATTCTCGCAGGTGGCGTGCCATCTCATCCTTCAGATTGGCAATCTCTGCCTCCAGGTTTGAGATGGTATTCTGGTAGCCAGCCGCCTCCCCACTGAACCTGTCCTCCATCTCTCTCATCTGCCTCAACAGGGAGTCATTCTGAAAGCAGGCAGGAGGAGTGGAGCAGATGAAGCCATGAGCTGCTTTGCATACAGTACATTGCTGATGTAGTGACTTCAATTTTAAAATGAAACGCAAAAAAAATATTGCAAAACTGGTCATTAACCACGACAGTAGGTTTCTTGTAACTGATTAGAAAAAAAAAACCATATATTTCATCATAAAAACAATTTCAGTACACTTTCTTTCACTTTTTTTGAGTATAAAAGTCAGGCTGGATCATACGGGTGGTTTATCTCTAAGCGCCTTGGGGCAACCTTGTTATAAAAATAAATTGAATTGAATCAAGTTTACCTCTAGTCCTTAGGCTAGGGTTTGACAACTCTAGGCTTCAAGGGACAGGGGGTTGTCAGTTTTTGTAAAATTCCCTCACAGAACTTATTTAATTCAGGGGTGTCTAACACCGGTCACCTCCGTGTCTCCAGGTTTTTAGTGTCTGTTTAAGGCACTACGGAGCCCTGGTAGCTCAGAGAACAAGGGTGTCTACCTCCTGACTGGAAGGTCCCGGGTTCAATCCCAGGTAGGGGCAAGCGATGTAGCTTGCTCTAATTTCTTCCAGATGGCTCCCAGGTCCACTCAGCCTGCTTTCCAAGTGAGTACCGGGGGTCAATCCTTCTGGGGGTGATAGGCCGGCCTGAGTGTGATGCTGACCACATCACCTCCACCTACAGTGTCGGATGGTCAAGAAAAATGGTGGCCCTTGCCCCCTGTTCCCCATGGGCCTTTATGGCCTGAAAAGGGACCTACCTACCTGCCTTAAGGCACTAGGCCCTGAGGAGCTGGGAGAAGCTGTTAAATTGGTCCAGTTATGCAAGTAGCCAGCTGGTTTAGCCCATGAAGAGCTGAGCTGGAATACCAACCTGAAGACATGGTGGCAGCCCAGAACCAGGCATATATGTCCCACTTGTAACCGAATGTGTTATTTAAATAAGTTTGCTTCTGCACATTGTTTCAGTTACTCAGTGAAGTAGCTCTACGAAACCTGTCGGCGAGGAGGAAACTTACAGTGCCCTTGAGAGAGTCAATCTCGCAGGTGTAAGACTGGATCTGGTGGCGGTACTCCATCACCTCCTGTTTGGACTGTCGGAGGGCATCATTGTTCTTGGCTGCAGCCTGACTGAGGTCTGAAACCTGGGAAACACATTTTCATCATGACAACATTTCAGGGATTCGATTAGTTTTTTTAAGAACCCCATATCTGTGTACTTATTTTTCCAAGCCGATTCACACCAAAGTGTTGGTGTTCAAATGGCGCCTGTTATTATGTGGTACTTCTCCATCTTCTTTGTTGTCACAGCCACCATACTGTTCATTCAAATTATGTTTGATAGTAGAATTTCATAGCAGGAACGTATCTAGCTACCTGTTATTATAGACTGTATATACTCAATTTAGAATAGACCATTATTTGGTTGTGATTGTAATTAGTGGCTTTCTGGTAATAACGTCTGCATCCCTACAGGAAGCACAAGATCCGGCAGTGTTGGTCTGATGTCAGAGACATTCATCTATTCACATGCTGCAAGATCCACATTGAGAACCTGAGAATTACGGCAGACTGGTGGAGACGCATGTATCTTAGTATAATAATTAAAACCCTTTTGATTTTCTATGGTGCCTTTAAAAACGGCTTCTCAAAGCACTTTACAGAGCAACAACAAAAAATACACACTGACAGGTGAGCAGTAGATGGAGGTACAGAATAAAGTTGGAAAGCAGAAGGTCATTTATTTAAGAAGGAGACGACTAGAGGATCACTTCATTAGCCATATACAATTTCTTGCATTAGGAAATTTGTCTTTTCACATACCCCAGCTCGCTCTCCATAAGACACACAAGAAGGGAGAGAAGCTTGGGGTCAGAGCACAGGGTCAGCCATTTATACAGCACCACTGGAGTGGCTGGGGTTAAGGGCCTTGCTTAGGGGACCAACGGAGTAGGATTCCTCTCCCACCCACAGGATTTGAACCAGCAACCTTCCAGCCACAGGTGCAGATCCTTAGCCACAGAGCCTCCACTGGTTAACTGGTTTTGCATGCCCCTTTGCTTTCCTACTATAATCCATACTCCCTTCTGCTATTAGTATCCTTCTGAAATGCAGACAACCAGTAACCTCAAGCATTTTTTTAAAATCTCTAAACATCCTCACAGTAACCTAAACAGTGGAAGACTTGCCGGTATGATCTGGTATGAAAGCTGCAGTAATGAAAAATGTGGACCAATCATGGCTAGACTGATACCTTGGACTTGTACCATTCCTCAGCCTCCTGGATGTTCTTAGCAGCAATACTCTCATACTGGGCACGGATGTCTCTCAGGGCAGCAGTCAGGTCCGGCTTGGACATGTCCATCTCCACCTGGACGTGAGTCTCCTGGAGCTGAGCCTGCAGCTCACGGATCTCCTTTGGGGAGAAGGGGACAGCCAGTCAAGTCTGACTTCTGGTGATGAAACACATGGCCCTACGATCACTGAGACACTGAGAGATAGTTTCAACATTGTATTTCAAAACGTTGGGATGAGAGAAAAATATGCCCTGAGCTTTCTGCTTATACTACCAGGAGAGAAGAGAATTTTCACTATTACAATTAACCTCCGGTTTTTACAACTGAGAAGACTCAGTTTAAACAAAACCTCTGTTAAATAATCTGTTCTCTCTACAGGATTTATCACAACACAGCTTAACCTTTCATCAGAGGGGAAGAAATGAATATGTTCATTTTGATTCTATTCAATCTGACTAGAACTCCTAACCATCTAATAATGACACATTCTGTGCATATCTTGTTACTTTTTTAAAATAGCATATAAAACATTATTTATATTACATTTAATCAAATCAAACAATAACAATCTTAATTACTTAAATTGTTAAATGAGAGATTTTAGTTTTAAAAAGCATTGTCACTCCATGTAAAATGTGTGTTAATAGTTCCTGTGAGACCAACATTTTCTGAGACAGTAAGTCTAACCTTGTTCAGTACAAGAAGGCATTTGGTCTCTTAACTTTATGTCCTGTTCATATTACCCTTTCAAAGATAAATATAGCATTGCATCTGTTGGATAATGTTAAACTGTGACCTCTTACACACTTGTGTCATTCAGAAAGCACTCATCACTTCCAGAGTCACTCTTAAATGTCAAAAAGAAGCGATACAGCTTCAAAGGAACATTTCATTCATGCTTCACCCCCACAAAATTCTTATCATTCAAAAATAAACCTAGATTGTTAGTCAAATATTTTTAGCAAGCACAGAATGTTGAGCAAAATGTAATCAAGTTCAGTAGAACAGCAACAGGTCCGTAAGTTTTCTTTAGATATGAAACAACTTTTCCATCCTAATATTTAATATTAATTTTATTGAAAATGAGAGAATGGATTAGTTTTAAGGATAAAATCAGAAATAAGTCTTGTTTGACTAGATGAAAGAAGTTTATATTTTAGCTGAATTATTTAATTGAAATGTATTTGGTTTGTAAATTTGTTGCATTCAATTTTTTTTTAAATACTTCTAAGCAGTTACTGAACTGTGGCATTTTATTCTTTATATACAGTAATGAGACTACCTTGTATTGTATACCAACGTTGTAGCAGAATAGATACTATTAAAATAATATGTAACAACATATAATGGTATGGAATATAAATGCATTTGAACAAGGTTTTCTAACCAGGTGATACCTTTTTTGGTTTTTGAATGAACTCTATAGCCTTACAATGTGTGTGATGCTGCACAATAAAGTATATAAATGTACATTATTTGCTAGTTTGATATCTGTAACTAAGAATCTCCTGTAGTTGAGTGAAACTTGAGCAGTGTTGGGTTAGAGTTAGAGTATTTCAGATTTCCAGGTTTAGTGTGTAGCTACTGATCAGTGAGATACAAGATGCTGCAAGATGGGAGTCTGAGAGCTCTGTCCATCCTCCTTATGGATCTTGAAAATAAGGGAAGTTTCAACGACACCTAGGATTGCTGGAAGTTGCCCCATTTTCCAGCTCCATTGAGAGAATGGGTCTGTGGCCTGCTGAGGTCCGTACATTTATGGCCGACAGAAGCTCTGAACTGTGCCTCAGATGACAGGCAGGCAGAACACCAGAGGTGGAAAGAGAAGAAGAGTGGGTCTCTCAGCTCACCTCCTCGTGGATTTTCTTGAGGAAGGCAATCTCCTCCTGAAGAGTCTCGATGCGTCTCTCCAGGTCCAGACGGGCCAGAGTTGCAGCGTCAACGTCCTGCAAGGACACATACCCTGAAATTCAGTCTCAGCTAGAGTGGCACCCTCCCATTTTTTCACACTGTAAGAGGGTTAAGGTGGCATAGTGGCACATTGGTTAGCATTGCTACTGAAGGATTGTTTTTTATATCACACCTTAGTAATCTCGAAACTATTGCAGTTTACGCATGTAACTTTATGTCTGGGCTTTCTTTGTAACCCAGCGGTTACTCGAAGCACTCATGACCTCGCATCTGTAAAAAAGTTGTTTATGTTTTATGTTTAACGCTTCTTTTGTTAACAATATGTCCTTGTGAGTCATCCAGCTGCTGAAGGAGGGGGTTGTGAGGGAATAAGAATTGCATCTTCCAGTTTTCTGGCTATAAAGAGAGCTCTGCCAGGGGAAATGGGCAGAGAAAGAAAAAAGGAGAGGAATCTTTTTTTTCTTTTTCTAATTCTTTCACTGCCTTGCAATGCTGGGGCCCTGGGTTCAATTCCTGGGGTTCTATCTGTGTGGAGATTGTATTTTCTCCTCGTGTTTGCCTAGGTTTCATCTAGGTGCTCCAGTTTCCTTCCACGGTACAAAGACTTTGTGGTAAGTCAATTGACTGCTGGAAGAGGTGTTAGTGGGGCCAGCAGGGGGCGCTCACCCTGCGGTCCATGTGGGTCCTAATGCCCAAGTATAGTGACGGGGACACTATATTGTAAACAAGCGCCGTCCTTCAGATGAGACGTAAAACCGAGGTCCTGACTCCCTGTGGTCATTAAAAATCCCCGGGCGTTTCTCAAAAAGAATAGGGGTGTTACCCCGGCATCCTGGCCAAAATTTCCATTGGCCCTTACCAATCATGACCTCCTAATAATTCCCATTTACAGTATGAACTGGCTTCATCACTCTGCTCTCCTCCCCACTGATAGCTGGTGTGTGGTGAGTGTACTGGCGCACTACGGCTGCCGTCGCATCATCCAGGTGGGGGCTGCACATTGGTGTCCCCATTACCTGTAAAGCGCTTTGAGTGGAGTGTCCAGATAAGCGCTATATAAGTGTAAGCAATTATTATTATTATAATTAAAAGCGTGTGTACATGTTTGTCTCTGTCCGCCCTCAATGGACTAACATCCTGCCCATCCACACTTGCACCCAGTGCTTGCCAGCTGCCCCATGACCCTGTATGGCATAAAGTGGCTAAAATGTGCGTGCGGTATGGATGGGTGTAGGAGATCCATCATATACAGTACCGTGTGGAAGCTTCATGGCTAATAAATATCAGAAAATGAACACAGCACATGATAGCTGTAATGTGGCCTCTCCCAAACTTTGCTCAGTCACTTTTCCAGCCCCTATGTGAAGTGACTACCTACAATCAGGAGTGAGGGGGTTTGAAAGTTTTTCAAGCAGGTTTTACATCTTCAAACTGAGCTTGTATGACGCTAAATCCTTTTTATCAGGTTTAATTCCACTCAAAGTTTTAAATTAAAACATTATTTTTTTAGTCTACTGTATATGTGGCCTTGGCTTTTATTAAACATTTTCACCCATGTGAGAAAATGTTGCGCTTTGGTAAGATTGCTCAGACTCAGTGCGAACCATACTAGTTTGTTTGTCTACAAATAGAATATCCCTCATGAATACCTCCTCTAAATGGCAGGACAGAACAAAAATAGCAACATTTAATTAGATAAAAGCATGAAGCTTGTCTCTGCTTTTTTTTTTCCCTGAATAAAGCTCGAGAGCAGTTTTTTCCCCCCCACTGCAGCAGGAGCTCAGAGGAAAAAAAAGAAGATTTTCCTCAGTGTATCTATAAGCCATTTAGCATCTGTGAGCCTTCTAGGCTGTGGCCGCCACGTATCCAGAAAACAGGACAAATTAGTGATGAATCAAACATGAGCTGCGCCAGGCTGTAAGGTGAGCCTTCTCTCTCACCCTGCTCTCGGGATCATGAGGTCTCACCACCTGCTGTGGCGACAACAGGGCATGACATCAGCTGCTAAAAGCACTCTGTAGCAAATGGAAGGTGATATTCATCCAAGAGCAACATTTGCGTTCTAGCCTGTGTTCCGCATTACAGGCAGTGTAACCAGGGTTCGTTTTAAGAGACTTACAGGAAAAAGGATATATCATGCCAGGAATGAGTAGAATGATAATGCCATACTGATATAATGTGCAGTAAGGCATGCATAATAGAAGCTTTGCTGCACAAGGGCCCACTGTCGTA